GAAGGATTTCAGTTTTTGATAATTCAGTATTATATTGGCTGTTGATTTTTCATTGATGGTTTTTATCAGAGTGAGGTAGAGACCATCTATTCCAATTTTTTGGAGAAGTTTTATCATAAATATATGTTGGATTTTGTCAAATGCTTTTTCTGCATCTATTGAGATGATCGTATGGATTTTGTCCTTGGCTCTATTAATATAGTGTATTACATTTTTTTCATTGAGTTTATTGGTACTTTTTGAGTATAAAGTAAATTTACATTTATCATTGGGATCTTGTACCTGTACATGACAGATTCTTGGTTCTCATATTTTCCTATATCCCTGCTCTCCCTTTACTCCCTCCACCTCCCCTAATTGCAAAGACTTTGTTTCCTTTCTTCCCTTTTCTCATGTTTTTTCTTTTCCCTTATTTCCTTTCCCTACACCTTTAGCCCCTTTCTTCCTGTATTACATTTATTGATTTGCATATGTTGAACCATCCCTACATCTTGGAATGAATTCCACTTGGTCATGGTGTATGATCTTCTTAGTGATCATCTGTATTCTATTTTCTAGAATCTTATTAAAGATTTTTGCATCTGTGTTCATTAATGAGATTGGCCTATAGTTCTCTTCTTTGGTTGGGTCTTTCTCTGCTTTGGGGATCAAGGTGATATTTGCTTCCAGGAATGGATTAGGGAATATTGCTTCCCTTTCAATTTCATTGACGAGTTTAAACAGGAGAGGCAATAATTCCTCTCTAAATGTCTTGTAGAATTCAGCAGTGAAGCCATCAGGACCTGGGCTTCTCTTAGTTGGTAATATTTTCATTACATTTTCAACTTCATTGATTGATATTGGGTTGTTTAGATTTTTTAGGTAATCTTCATTCAACTTCGATAATTCATACAAATCTAGGAATCTCTACTTTTCTACTGTATTTTCCACCTTACCGGTGTATAGATTCTGAAAGTAGGTATTGATCCTCTGGATTTCTGCTGGGTCTGTTGTATTTTCACCTTTTTCATTCCTAATTGCATGGATTTGAGCCTTTTCTTTCCTTTTTTGATTACGTTGCATAAGGTTTATCAATTTTGTTTAGCCTTTCAAAGAACCAACTATTGGCTTCATTTTTTTTGTATTGTTCTGTTAGTCTCCATTGCATTAATTTCTGCCCTGATCTTTATAATTTCCTCCCTTGTATGAGCTTTGGATTTGATCTGCTCTTCTTTTTCTAGAAGTTTGAGTTTCAGCATCAGGTTGTGTAATTGAGCTTGTCCTCTTTTCTGAATATGAGCATTCACTGCTATGAATTTCCCTCATTAGACTGTGTCCCACAGATTCCAGTATGTTGTATTGTCATTGTCATTTAATTGTAGGGCATGTCTGATTTTTTAAAATTTCCACTGTAAACCATTGGTTGTTCAGAAGTGTGCTGTACAATTTCCATGTGTTTATGAAATTCTTGCCATTTCTTTGTCTTTTGATCTCCAATTTCACCACAGTATTGTCTGATAATATACAGGGGATAACTTCAATTCCTTTTCTCTCACTTATTCAAGTTCTATGAAAGAGTATGGTGTATTTTGGAGAACAAACTATGTGCAGCTGAAAAGAAAGTGTATTCTGATTTTGTGGGGTGGAACACCCTGTAAACATCTGTTAAGTTCATTTGTTCAAGAGTTTGATTGAGTTCTACTATTTCATTGCTTATTTTTTGTCATTGATCTATCTGTTTGACAGTGGAGTATTGGGGTCTCCCACTACTGTTGCATTAGTGCTGATATGATTTTTCAAGTCCAGTAGTGTTTGTTTTATACAGTTTGGCACACTTGTGTTTGGTGCATATATATATATGATT